AAAAACAACAACAGGAAACTATTGAAGTTATATTAAAAGATATTTGCCCAATATCCAACAACTTTAAATCGAAAATTGTAAATAAATTAATATGCTGTAATTGTAATGATATATCATACACTGAAGAATATTTTTATGATATTTCTTTAAACGTTCCCAAGAATAAGTAAGTATTTATCGACATACATATAATATTTATAAGTAAGTAACTAATATTTATTTTATTTCTATAGCACAAAGAATTTAAATGAACTGATAGATATGTTTTTAAAAGATGAAGTTATTGAAAGAAAATGCTCAAAATGTAAAAGCAATAAATCAAGACTTGTCAAATTTTTTACATCAACTTCAAATGTATTAGTGTTACATCTCAAGAGGTTTCAAATGAATTTTGATACTATGTCAATTTTAAAAAACAATGCTCCTATCGAACCTTTAGAGTTTTTAAAACTTAATCAATATAATTTTGAAATTCCAATAAATAAAGAAACTAAAGATGATATAGATGATAAAAATATAGATAGTAAAAATACAAATAATAATAATAACAATAATAATAATAATAATAATAATAATAATAATAATAATAATAATAATAATAATAATAATAATAATAATAATATAAATAAAAATACAAATAATAACAATTATAAAGATATTAATTTTGAAAATAATAATGTCAATGGTAATATTTCATCACCATCATCTACATCAACTTCGCCATCTATGTCACCACCCCCACAGAAACCAAATTCTCAAGATTCAACTCAAGATGAATCACTTGACCCAAAACAAGTTGAATTATTGTATCCACCTACCAAAAGTATAATCAACTATTCACTTCATAGCATTGTACAACATAGCGGAACTTTACATACAGGCCACTATATTTGTTCAATGAATACAAATAACTCTTGGAATCAATTCGATGACTCATTTGTATCTCCTCTACAAAAAGAAAATGTACTTTCGGTTAAAAATGGTTATATATTTTTTTATGTAAAAAATATTGGTGCCAACTAATTTTTTTTTTTTTTTCTAAAATATTTTTTAATTTTTAGTACATAAAACTAAAATAAACTTTTTTTTTAATAAATTTTTTATAATTATTTATCTTTTTTTATTTATCTTTAATTTTTAACAAAGCATCTTTAATTATAACAAAACATTTTTCTACCTCTTCATCTGGAACAAAAGAGAAAGTGAATCTGACATATGGGGTTTTGTGGTTACGAATTGAACTAAAGTTTACTCCCATGCATAAGAGCAATTTGTTTGGGTATAAATACTCTGTAACAAAGGTATTTGAACACTCCACACCTAAAAGCTTAACCCAAAAATATAGACCACCTTTTGGATTGTTGTATTCAACCAAGCCATTTAAATACTTTTCGAACATTGATTTCATAAAATCTCTTTTCTTGATCATTAATTGCTGGTTTCTTTTAACATATGAATAAAAACCTTGAATGCCCCATGATTCTAAAATTTTCCAAATTACTATTTGAGCTAAATTACTTGTATGATAGATAGAGTTTCCTACTTCGGCACTAATCTGACGATATAATAAGTTCCATGTTGTTAAAAATCCTAATCTAACACCACTTGTTAGAAATTTGCTAAAGGTGTCTATTCTGATAACTCTTTTATCTATATCCATTGATAAAAATGATTCCTCCCCAATAAATCTCCCATTAATATCCTTTTTACCATCCAATTGTAAAAATATATGTGGATCATCTTCAATAATTAATAAATTATACTTTGAACAAATATTATATATCTCTATTTTTCTTTGAATATCATACTGTGCTGCTGTTGGGTTTTGGGCATTTGGTATGATATATAAAGCTTTTGGAAAATTTAAACCTTTATGAAACTCTTTCCAATTTTTTAAAACTTTTTCTAAATTCTTTGGGATAATTCCTCTTTCATCCATGTCAATACCTTCAAAATTTACACCATGAGGTGCGCAAAAACCAAAAACACCACCATATGTAAAGTTTTCTGTTAAAATTGAATCATTTCTATCAAATAAAGCCTTAAAAATACAATCTAATGCTCCTTGTGCACCATGAGTTAGTACAACGTTCCATTCTCTTCCTGGAGTATTCTCTTTAATAAAAAATTTTATTAATAATAAAAAAAAAATATTTAAATTTAATAAAACTATTAATACCATTTTGTAATCCATGAGTTTCCCTTTGCAAATTTGTTAACCACTTTACCAATTTATAATATCCTGGAACAATGGAATAAGATTGAATATAGTGTAACTCTTCTCCATTTATCACTATTTCTTTTTCAAAATTCTTGACGTTTAACTTAATTTCATTTAATGGAAAAAACTCTGGTGATGGTTCTCCTGCACCCAAACTGATGACATCCTTTTGAGATAAAAATGCTTTTAGTCGTACGGATTCTTGAAAACCGAAACTTATGTTTCTAACGCTAAAAAATGGTTGATAGTTTGTAATAGGGTTTGAAATAATTTCACCCTTTTCATAATACTTTAGCTCTTTATTTTTTTCTTCATTTATATTTAAATCATTTATATTGGTTTGTATTGGTGATGTTGATTTTGTATTTGGAGAAATCATTTTACTTGTATAATTTTTTATAAAACTATGTAAAATTATTATTATAAAAAAAAATTTTTTATTATGTAATAATTTATTTTTTAAAAATAAAAAAAAATTAATTTAATAATAAAAAAAAAAAGAAATGTTATGTGTTAAAAAATATTAAAAAATAAAAATAAAAATAATTATTAAAACATGTGGTTAAATTATAATAATAACATATAGATACTACTAATATTTTTTAAGAATTAATAATAAAATAATATTAATAAAAGTATAGAAGATAACCAAATAAAAGAGGAGATAAAAAAAATTTTATATTTTAATTAATGATTTTACCTGAATAATTGTTCATATGTTAGTGATTCAAAAAAAAATCTATAAAAACTTTCTAATATTATTTTTAAATAGATTATAAATATTAAAGAAGTTCAAGTTTGCACAAATTTGAAAAAAACTTGTGATTTAATTTTAAACGGCTTTTACAATTTTAAATAATTTATTTTTTAAAAATAAAAAAATAAAATAATAAAAAAAAGAAATGTTGTTTGTAAAAAAATATTAAAAAATAAAAATAAAAATAACTATTAAAACATGTTGTGAAATTATACCAATAATTATTAATATTTCATAGAAACACATTTAATATTTTTAAAATTAATTAATAAAAAAATAATACAAACAAAAGTATAGAAGATAAAAAAAATTTATATTTTAATTAATCATTTTGTTTATTTGTTTTTTTTTGTTTTTTTAATTAAATGTTAATTTTAATTTTTTTGTTTTTGTTTTTGTTTAGTTTTAATTAATAAAAAATATATTTTTTATTATATTATAAAAATATATAAAAAATATTAAGATTTATATGATAATTAAATAAAACATTTTTAGTGTTTTTTTTAAAAAAACACTTTATTTGAATTGAAGATCACAAACTGAGAAAACAGCTGGGCCAGTTGATTTGTTGATGTAACCGAAAGTAATGTTTTTACCGGCTTCTAAACCATTTTGACATAAATATGATGGGAAGTGGTAACGGTTTTCAGAAACTTTTTCAACAGTCCAGACATCAGATGGTTTAGTGATGATAAAGTTGGATTCAGCAACTACAGTAGCATCATAGATTGTAGTGGTACCACAATTGACTAAAGTTACTTCAAAGACACTGTATTGGACACCATTATCTTCCCAAGCATTTGTTTTATTTTGAGAGATGGTTAATTGTTGACCACCATGGTTCCAGTTTTGTTGTTGTTGAGCTTGTTGAGCTTGTTGACCTTGTTGGGCTTGTTGGGCTTGTTGGGTTTGTTCAGTTTGTTGTTGCATTTGTGCACCTTGAATACTATCAGCAAAGGCACAACTTAATAAACAGAAAGTTAAAGCTAATAAAAGGAATCTTTTGAATAACATTTTTTATACAGGTAATGGTACTTTTAATTGTTTTTTTAGTTGTTATTAATTGTTTTTATTTTTTAATGATTTAAAATAAAATATTTTGTTTGTTTAAATAGTTTTTTAAAAATAATAAAAACTATTTTAAAAAATAAAAATAAAAATTATTTATCAAATTATAATAAAAACAAAGTTATAATAAACAAACTAGATTTGATAAAAAAAACAAAGGTCCATTTACAAAATGAATTTATTTAGTTATCATTTATTATAAATTTTTAATTTTTATAAAATGTCAAATATAGTAATTACATATTTTACTCAGTCCACTTTTATTTAATTTTATTATTTATATACAGTACCACTTATTGTTATTATTGTTTTTGTTTTTCGTTTATTATTATTTAAAAAATTTTATGATATGATTACTTAAGTGTGCACATATATACATTTTATATATATGATAATATTTAATATATAAAACCACCCATTCTTTATTCTATATATAAACAATAAGTTAATTATTTTTATTATTTTTTATAATATGATAACTACATTTGTTATCAAACAAAATAATTGGTAACAACCACTCCTTTCAGGGATTAAATAATATCCCTAAATTATTTATTTTCATAAGAAAAAAGTAAATCATGATATTTTTATTTACGATTTTTATGATTTAAAGAAGTATTAGTGGTTGTTTTTAAAAGTTAAAAAAATAAAACAAAATATAAAAAATAAAAAAATAAAACAAATAATATAATCATGTACTCCACATAACTACATGACTATATTTATATATGTTTTTGTATAACTATGCACAAAAACATGTTTATATTATTATTCTTTTTGAATTTCAAAACTATTATTATAATTAATAATATCAATAAATTTTAAAATGGTAATAATATAAAATAATTATTTATTATAAACTATAATTATTATAGTAATTAAATTATCATTATAAATTTATTATTTATATTTTTTAATTACAAAAATTTAAAATAATATTATACATAAAAAAAAATTTAGATGATATTTTTTATGTGTTGATTTTTGATTTTAAAATTTTACCCCCACAAACACACATATAGTATACAAATAATTTTTTAAAATAATAATACAAATATTAATATTATTTAATTTTTATTTAATGATTTATTTTGATAAATTTTTTATAATGATTTGTATAGTTTTATGAATCTCTTGTTCGATTGGAGGGACTTTATCTAAGGTATCTTGTTTAATACTATACCAAGATTCATTTTTAGTGATTTTTTTATAAATTGTTTTATCAAATTCATTATTATTATTGTTGTTGTTACTGCTATTGTTATTAAAATTATTAATATTTATATTATGTAAATCATTATCTTGATTATTTATATTGCTATTATTATTAATATTATAATTTGAATTATTTTGATTATTTAAATTTGAATTAAATATAAAATCAGTTGAAGAAATATAGGATTTTAAATTTTGCTGATAATTATTTTTGTTTGGTAATTGCTCCATTAAAATTTGAATAAAATCCTCAGCTACCAAAGGAAAAGATTTAGTAATTCTGGTGATTGATGGTAGAATTGAATAAAGGAATTTAATTTTATCTTCTTGAACCAATGTATTACCATTTAAATTGTATGATATACGAGTTTGAGATAATCTACAGAGCTTTAATGATTTTGGAATTGGGTATTTCTCTGAAAGGTATGCTAATAATTGAATTGAAAATATTTGCTTGTCTAGAGAAGGCTGGTTTAATAGCTCTGGAATGAATTCAAAACAAATATGCATGGATGGGATTAACGATACAGTAATTGGTAACAATTGAGACAAGTAACCTTGGAAATGTATTAATTTTATAATGAGCGGCTTGTCGATGAAAATCTGGTGAATAAAACTGCAAACTAAACAACGAATCTCTTCAATATCGACCTCATCAAAATTTTTTATACCGTTTTCATTAATGCATCCCTCTCTTTTTAAAATTTTATTTATTCCTACTAACCCAGTTTGTTTAATATTTGAACCACCAAAATCACTGCCAATAGCGTCTCCACTATTAAATCTATCTATTATACAAATCTCCAACAATATCTGAATAATTGATGATTCTTGAGTTAAAATTAATGTTGAGATATCCTCTTGCTTATTTGTAGTTGAAACTTGAATTTGATTTTGTAGATTCTTTTTACTTGATACCATGTAAAAGAATAAAATTTGTAATAATATTTTTAATAGAGGTGGACATGTAAATACAGTTGGATGCGACCTAAAAACAATTAATGGATCTGATATAATATCGCTATAAGTGTACTTTAACCCTAATAAACCACTATTTTCAAATGATGCTCCATCTTGACTTGTACCACTGCCATCGATCGAAATTAAAATATTTATGGTTTTTAATGCAACCGATGTCTGATTAACTGAAAATACTCTCATCCAAATATCGGTGAATGATGATATTAGACCCTCAACAGATGGTAAAATTCTATTCTTTACAAGGATTGGTAATAAATATTCGATCAGCACATTGGAGTATACCAATAAACTCTCTGTTGATAAAGTATTTAAATATCTAAGTATTAACTGAGTTGAAGTTGGCCTATCTAATGTTTTAACTAAAGATTCTTTTAAAAACTCAACAGACATTGTAGATTTATCTGAATAATATTTAGGATAAAAAATTAATTTTTCTATTGGGCTAAAGGTGAAAAAAATAAAAAAATTAATAAGTATTTTTTCTAATAATTAAATATGGATGTATAAAACTTACTTTGATAATCTTTCCTCTTCTAATAATAATAAATTAACATTAAAGAACTGTGGGAATTGTGAAGAAATTAAATATAAAAATGGTGGAATTATATAAAAGTAGTCCAATTGATTTGAAAGGATTAAATTAATACAATTTTGGATTGGCAATTTTGAAAGAAACTCTATATTGTATTCGCGTAACTGTGTTGTTTCAATTAAAAAACTAACTGGCTTTCCTTTTTGTTCGGTTTTATGTTTCATAAGAGTATCATTAAATCTAAGTATGAAATAAATAATTAACACCTTAACTATATTTGAAGATGAATTAATTGAATTCATTATACTAATTTCTGAAATTCTTTTCATATAAAAAGTTGTGATGCTGGGTTCTATAATACTAAGTTTTTGAAAAAAAAAATTAGGTAACTATTTTAATTAATGATTACTTTTACCAATAATATAAAAATAATTACTTTTTAATAAACTGATCCAATAGAGATGGTAATAAATAATGAATTGGCTTTGAAGATTTTAATAATTGTGTCCATACCCATTGACCAACATCAGTTTCATATTTTTCGAAAATTCTTTCACTTAATAAATGATAAACACAAACAATTGAGATATTTTGGTCATTTGAATTTAAATTTTCGATTGTTGGTAATGAAATTGCTCTTTTTGCGACTAATGATTCCGTATAAATTTCTTTGGTTAAAATTTCACCAATTTGATTTAAAGATTCAGTATGGATTGATGGTCTAAATCCCAAAATGTTCTTAACTAATAATGCTATATTTTGAAGTTGATGTGTATGAAAATAAATTGAAATTAATAATAGCAACTCATCACAATTCCCGACCTTTGATAAATGATTTAAATATCCAACGACACTTTTTGACTGGATGCTTTTAACTAAACCTTCACAAACTAATAAAAAGCATAAAAATATTTTAGAATAACTAAAGTTCAATTAGTATAAATTTAAATGTTATTAATAATTTTTTTAGTATTATTACTTGGATATATACTTTTTAAAAATTGATTTTTCTAAAAATGATAACGATGTTGTTATTTCTTGCTGATTCATTTTAACACCTAATAAACCTGAAAACCCACAATATAATCTAATTATTAGCTTTACAGTATAAGACTGTTCGACTATTTTGCTATTTAATTTTTTTAATAAATTTTCTTTTTTTTCATTATTACTATTAATATATTGTTTTTGTAATGATTCGAATTTTTCTTGATAATTATAAATATTCTTTAAGGTTGTTAATAGTCTGTCTCTGATTTCATGGAATGTTGACTGTTGATCTTTACTATTATTTGAAATATATTCTTTTAACCATTGATTTTCTGATCTATTTGTGATGATTTTACTTAAAATATCAATTTCATCTTTAATAAATTGTGATGTTATGGAGAATACTAAATCTGGTAATAGCTGTCTGTTTAGTAATTCGGTTCTAATAAATCTTGAGCAATAACTTGATAATGTACAAATGTCGAATAGTACTCTTTTGGCCCTATCCAATCCAATTAAGTTTATATTGTGAATATAATTTCAATAATTTCGTTAAACTCGCTTGGATTATTTGCTATAACTAACTTTACTAAATAACCATATTGATTATTTAAAAACAATATTGATAATATTAATTTCTTTATATTTTAATAAAAAAAATATATTAGTTTTTATTTTTATTTTTTTATTTTTTTATAATTATTAAAGTTACATACATTAAAATCAATATATTTTAAACATTTAAAACATATAATTGGTAGTATTATGTTTAACTCGTGGAAATAAATTTGTGTATCTAAAAATAATGCTTCATACTTTGTATCTCTAGAGATTGTTTGTGACTGTTGCATCTCTGTATATTCCAATAATGCTATTAAATCGCACAACACCAATCTAAGCTTTTTCTCTGCATCCCCATTTTCAAAGTGAGATTTTGGATTACTGATTGAGTCTAAATATGTATCTTTTTTATCGACCTATAAAATTAAAAAGAAGTGTAAGTATAAAATCTATTTTGTTATATTTATTTTATTTAAATACTTACATGACTTAGTTTCTTTCTAATTTGCATTTGATTATTTATAAACTCGTTAATTTGGTTGTAATCTATTGATTTATATTGATCTATTTTATTTATTAGTTTTGATAATTTTGAACTGTAAAATAAATATTCTAAATCTTCTGTGAATAAATAATCGTTATTGGGTATTACAACATAAAATATATAAGGAAGATAGTACTCTAGTAACTCTATATTATCGCTATCTAATATTTCTAATAAATCAATGTCACCGCTGATTATTGAGCAAAATAAATCATTGTCAATATTGGAATTGTTAGCGGTTAAATTGATACTATTTAATAAATTTTCAAAATCTGCTATTTCGTTATCCTGATTACTACCCATTTCTGTATCTATTATTGTTGCTGACATTTTTATTTATAAATTTGAGTGATAAGGATCCTATTGATCCACTAATTAAGTTATTTTAAATAAAAAATTTTGTTTAATTAATTTTTAAAAATGAAAAAAAAAAAAAAAAAAATTTAAAAAAATGTTTTTTTTTTTTTATAATTTTCATTTTTTTCATTAAAATTATAAAAAATAATAATTATAATTATAATTTAATGTGATTTTATAAATAAAATTTTAGTATAAAATAACCCAAAGTGGCAATATATATGTATAAATATTGATTTAATTTTCATTTGAAAATACTAAACTTTTCTCATAACAATTTTAATGTAAATAACCGAAATTAACTTCTCTGAATATGGTTATATTTGATCAGATAATTCATAATAATTATTATAACATAAATGTTTTTTTTTTTTTAAAAAAGAATTATAGAAATTCAAAAAAAAAAAAAAATAAAAAAAAAAAAAACCAATTTTGAATAAATAAATAAAACAAAATTATAATAAATTTAAGATTTCTTTTTTGGGATTTAATAAAATAAAATTAAAATTAAAATTAAAATTAATTATTAAAACTAATTTTTAAAATTAATTATTATGATTAAATTAATTGAATATATCACAATCACTTTAGTTTAAAATTAAAAAAAAAATTAAAAAGAAAATTAAACGTTATACAAAAAAGACCATACTATTATATATTTTTATATATAAATAAAAAATATTTTTAACTTTTGAAATTGTAAAGATTAAAAGGTTTTTTTCAATCAAATCTTTATTACTAGATTAAATAGAAATGAGAACAGTCTATAAAAAAATAAAAAGCAAAAAACCAAATTGGAATAATGTGGTTCTTTATAACTGTAAAAACTTTTTACCCTGATATTTATATATACATAAAAAAGCTTATATTGGGAAGTTAATAAATACAAAAAAAAAACAATTTATAACTTCCAAAAAAAAATATCAAATCATTTTTATGCGAGGTTCACACATTGGAGTTATAAAAAAAAAAACAAAAATAGATGCATCTGAACACAGTTTATTGTAATCAAAAAATAAAAAAAAAATTAAAAAAAAAATTAAAAAAAATCATAATATCTTTTTTTTCGCAAATTTTATTAAGAAAAAATAATTCTCTTAAAATAATTATCTTAATTTTTTATTTTTAATATTTTAAATAATCAAAATTTAAAATATTTAAGGAATTTTTTAAAATATTTTTTAATTTCATTTATAAATAAAAATATAAATAAATATAAATATAAATATAAATAATAATAAAAAAAAAATAATCTATATATAAAATTTTTTTTTTTTCATTAACTCCCACACTCACCCTGTATATAAAATATAAAAAAAGAACACACATAAACACACACACACATCACACTAACACAAAACACTATTTAAAGCATTATTTAAAGCAAATTTCCCTATATATTGTTGTTGTTGTTTACATTCAAATAAAAATAACATTTTTTTTTCCCAACCTACATATTAATTTAAATTTAAAAAATTATTTAAATCTTTTTTTTTTGAATTTATTTTTCATAATTAATATTTTTGTATATCCTATAAATAAAATAAATTTCAAATAATAATAATAATAATAATAACAATTAATAATTTTTTTTAATATTTATTTAAAAAAAAAAAACAATTCTATTTATTAATTTTTTTACAAACTTCAAACAAATAACTTTAATCTCATATATATTTAAAATGTCATCAAGTGCTTATAAAAATAATATTATTAAACTCTGTCTCATGGGTGACGGTAAATATAAAAAATAAAAATTTAATTTATTTAAAAAAACTTTAGAAATATTAATAGTTTTTTTTTTTTTTTATAGGTGGTGTTGGTAAAACTGCAATTTGTATTCAATTTACTTCAAATCATTTTGTTGAATACTATGACCCAACTATCGAAGACTCATACCGTAAACAATGTGTAATTGATGAACAAGCTTGTTTATTAGATATCCTTGATACAGCAGGACAAGAAGAATTAACTGCCATGCGTGATCAATGGATTAGAAGTTGTGAAGCTTTTATTATTGTATATAGTATTACCAGTCGTTCATCATTTGACCAAGTTGCTATCTTTAAAGAACAAATTTCAAGAGTTTTAGATAGAGATCAAATTCCAATGATGTTATTAGGTAATAAAAGCGATTTAGAGGATCTCAGACAAGTTACTACTCAAGAAGGTAGAGATCTTGCTCGTTGTCTTGGAATGATGTTTATGGAAGTAAGCTCAAAAACAAGAACTGGTATTGAAGAATCATTCTATGAAACCGTTAGAGAAATGAGAAGAAGAGATGATGAATCTAAAAAGACTAAAGATGATTCCCATAAAAAGAAATCATTCAAAAAATTATTAAACGAAAAAGTTGGTAAAATTAAAGAAGCTAAAACATCTTTTTGTAAAATGATGTAAAATAATGTATAATATATAATAATAACTGTATCAATAACATACAAAACTAATGTAACATAAATCATCCCTGTATATAATCGATATAAAAATAAAACCCCTCTGTATATAAATAAATAAATATAAATTATAAAAACTCTTTGTACGGAACAAAGAGAAAAATTTTTAAAAAAATACATTATTTCTCTAGAATATTATTTTTTATTTTTTATTTTTGTCTATTTGAATAATTTATTTTTTTTTATATTATTTTGGAATTTAAATAAAGTTATTGTGTTATTAAAATTATATTTAGTCCAAAAAATACAAAATTAAAATAAAAAAATGGTAAATTTAAATAAAATTCTATTTTATAAAAAATAATTTTTTTTCATAAAAATATAAAAATAAAATAAAATAAAAGTAAAACAATAAAATAGAGTATAATTTTATAATACTGAAAATTGAATGTATATTTTTATTTAATTGTTAAGAAATATTGGAGAAAAAAGAAAGAAAATTAATAAATTGGATATCTAGATAATAAAATTAAGTGTTAATAATATTTTTGTAATATAACAATATATCAAGTAGATAGTAAAATAAAACTTTTGAATTTTGGGTGGTGTTAAAAAACACCTTTGGAGTGATTACACTCAATTTGAATCAATACAAAGATTTTAAAAAAATTAATTTGTTTAAGCTCTTTCACCTCTAATTCTACGGGCTAATTGGATATCCTTGACCATGATGGTGACACGTTTGGCGTGGATGGCACATAAATTGGTGTCTTCGAATAAACCAACTAAGTAGGCTTCGGAGGCTTCTTGAAGAGCTTGGATGGCAGCAGCTTGGAAACGGAGATCAGTCTTGAACTCTTGGGCAATTTCTCTTACTAAACGTTGGAATGGGAGTTTTTTGATTAAGAGATCAGCACTCTTTTGGTATTTACGGATTTCTCTAAGAGCGACGGTACCTGGTCTGTATCTGTGGGTTTTCTTGAGACCAGCACCACCGGATGGGAAAGATTTTTGGGAGTGTGATGATTTGTTACCTAATTGTTTTCTTGGGACTTTAGCACCAGTTGATTTTCTAGCAGTTTGTTTTGTACGGGCCATTTTTGATTAATTGAAAGTAAAGTTTGAAGTATTGATTATTGTAAAAATAATAAAAATTTGTTTGATTAAAAATTATTAAGTGAGTAAATCACAGTTGTTTGTTTGTTTATGATATGAAAATAAAATAAAAAAAAAAAACTATTTAAATTTTTTGAAAAAAAAAAAAATTAAAAAAAAATTTTAAAAAAAATTGAAAAAAAATTAAAAAAAAATTAAAATTTTCAAATTCAAAAAAAATATGGGGTGTGAATTTCACCGCCTAAAAATTTTTAAAGCATAAATCCGTGTGAAAATTTAATGTTATGCGACAAACCGTTAAAATTTTTTTTAAAAAACCGGCTTTTTTTATTATTTGTTTAAAATGATGATTTTGAAAATAAATAATTACAATGATTTTTAAATATCTCAAAATTTTAAAAAAAATTATTTGTTTTTTTTACAAGTAATCTTTAAGAATAATTGATTATTTTCTATGAATTTTTTAAAAAAGAATAAATTATAAAAAATAATAAATAAATAAGAAATAATAATAATAAATTATTTATTTATTTTTTTTCTTAATATTTTCAAATAGATAAAATAATTATAATGATAAAATAAAAAACCGTTATTTGGAAATTACTGTTATTTAATTTTTTAAATATATGATTTTTTATTATGGAAATTTTTTTTTTTTAATTTAACAATATTTTATTTTATTTTAATTAATAAAAAATAGTTTATTTTATATGAGATAAATTTATTATTATTTTATTTTTTTTTTTTTTTGAAAAATATATTTTATTTATTTTATATTTTTTTTTATAAGGTTTCATTTAAATAAATATATTAATATTATCATATATTTTGTGCTGAGTCTTGTGATCATAATTTTTTTAAATATAAATCGTTATTCCAAATTTTTTTTTCTCATAACAATAATTTATAAAGTTTGCGCCGAATTTTTTTTTTAATTTTTTAATAATTTTTCAAATTAATTTTTTTTTTTTTGTTTATATTATCAACTTTTTTTTTAATAAAATTATATATATTTGTATAGATAATAATAATAATAAATAATATTTTATTTTTAAATTATAATCATAAAATTAATAAATAAAACAATAAAATAATATAAAAATAAAATAAAAAACGAAATAATTTAAAAATGGAAAATTATGAAGTTATTGGGTC